GCGGCGTCGCCTCAGCGCGGAGATGCCGCGGGGAAAAGACGCGGGAGCAAAGAGCGAAGCGGGCTTTACCCCAGAGCTGCGACAAAGCGATGGCGAAGGCGTGGGGCTCAGCCTCACGGGGACTACAGGGACCCCTCGGAGAGGGGTGGCTAAACTGATCACCAGCCAGCGAGTCCAGGAGCCATGGTCCCAGAGCAAGGTGCGGGGTTGGGCTTAGTCACCATTTGGTGATTTGACAGTAAGCTTTTTGTCAGGAAAAACACCAGCCTGATTATTACTATTTTTCCCTCACAGGTGCCTTTTAGTGTTCTTACTGCCCTCATGTGGGTCCAGTGTGTGTGTAAGCGCTTCCAACCCAGCACCAAGCGAGGGGCATTTTTGCTGAAAAATAGGACCAATTTAGCAACAGAAAACACCAAACCATGAGGGCTGCATGGCCACACCATCACCTCACTGCAGGCAGCTCGCCTGGAGAGGTGCAGCCATGCTGGTCGCACCTCTCCGGGCAAGGCCTCAGGTTGTGGCTCAGGCCATCATGAGGCCTCATGTCGTGGGGAACACAGAGCCCACCGTTGCTATGGGGACCTCAAGCTTTTTTTTTTAATCTTTTCCCAGGTCCAGTCCCCCTGCCTCACTGAATCTTGTTCGGTGCCCACCTGAAGCTGAGGAAGGGGGGAAAAAAAACAACCTCAAGACCCATGGCGTATGGAAGCCGCGTCTCGGTCCCGGGTGCGATGCTCGCCCTGATGGCAGGTACCTCACGCCATGGCCATTTCCCTGGCTGGAAACAGACCTCGCAGCAGTTGTGCATGCTACGTGTTTGGTAACGGCCTCCCTTGCCTGAGGAAATACCCAGCCATCCTCGCCAAGGACCTGGCCGTGCAGTTGCAGTGGGCACGCCATGACAGGGACGTGTTGCTTCAAGCCATTCACGGCCCTAACAGCAGCTGTACGCTCAGAAAAACTGTCACTTCCAGCAACTGCTGAGGTATTAGCAGGCAAGTTTTTGTAAATCAAGTTGGAACCATTCAGGTAATCACTATTCTATGCGCTCTGCTCTGCTCCTCTGCTAGAGCTGGTGGAAGCGAAGGGCAGACACTCCACTGCACGGTCCTGGGATTTAGCTGAAACCCCCTGTCGCTGGCAGTTGCTGGACTTTATTGATACAGCTTAACATGCACGTAATGCTCTGTGCAAACAGTTCTTTGCCGGGAATGATAAGCAGTGTTACCACAGTGCCACACGAGGCAACACACTTAAAAGGATGCACCAATTCGAGCCCCCTCCCTGTCAGCGTTCAAAGCCAGGTTGGATGGAGCTCTGAGCAACCTGGTCTGGTGAAGATGTCCCTGCTCATGGCAGGGGGGTTGGAACCAGATGATCTTTAAGGTCCCTTCCAACCCTTACCATTCTATGATTCTATGATTCTAATTCCCTGTCGCCTTTAGAGGAGTTAGCAAATGACAGGTGGTAGAGGCCTCAGCTATGCCTCTGCAGGGACTTTGTTAGGGATTTTGGATAGCAGAGATGCCATTAAAACACCAAAGCAATCTTCTGTAAAAAAAGGAAATACTCCCGCTAGGTGCCAAAGACAATAAAATAACAATGATTTATAACGTCACACCAACAAGAGAAGCAATTATTTGTAATTTACTGTTTATTTTCATATACAAAAAGATAAACTTGAAATAGTTCTTTCTAGTTTATTTCCTCCTATCTGTTGGGGTGTAGCTGCTTCACACAGGGCAAATACTACATTCATACTGGTTTATTCAGACACCCAGTGCAAAGCTGAAGCAGCAAAACTCCAACTTGGCAGATCTAATTTCAAACTTGAGACTCATTTCTAAAATACCACAGTAAAAAGGAACAAAGATCCACTGCAAATTCATGAACTATGATACAATGTTCTTTCCAAAATGTCTTCATTTCATAACTGCAATACAATGGATGTCTTCATTAGGCCATTTTATATATACATTTTATATATATATACACTTTTGCAGAATATATATATATAACATACATATATAAAAAATCAGCACACTTCAATCCAAAAGGGGTTACAGCAACGAGCTTAACTCTCTGTATACTTTTTTCTTTAACAGGATACTTTAGTATAACTTTTGTTAACTCAGTAGTACAAGCTATCTCTGTTCTACATTTTTATAGCTACAAGAGTGAAATATAACCTACAACATTTACATTTCACATATCTTGGTATACAAACAGTACTTATTGAATTTGAGCCAAGGACCAAAAGACTCTTTAAAAATTATTTCACCATCTGATAGAGCTTCCTGTAATTTACACTCAGTTTATTCTGCAATCTTCTAAATCATTTCCTTAATCTCATAGTTTGAGTTTAAATCCATTCAAACTGGAAATCCTGGAGAAACAGGTTACTGCAAACTCTTATGTATACTCTATATATACAAGTTAAGTAACACAGCGTAATAAGACTTAGCTATTTATCCTAAAACTGATATACACATATTTCACTACGCTAGACAAGTCTTAGGATTTTTATTTTATTTCTTTAAATAAAGCACAAATTTAGAAGTAGCTGGTAAAACTTACAATAAGATGGTTTAAAATGACAAATGGTTAGGGTGAGATTTCTTTCTGCTGGTGCCAAAACATTTTCTTGTGAGTTTTGTACTATGCTGTGTTGTTTAACTGTATGTGTCTAATGTTACATGCAGAAAGCTCTTTCCACAAGAATTGACATCAAACTGTACTTAAGTCAACTTTACAGTATAAAATTTGTCAAACTTAAGGACGAATGTGAAAGTATCAACAGGTGAAAGATCAGGCTTTCAACTCTATCGCGAGGATCATGCAGAATTCATAAGCAGATAGTTTGAGCAGATTGACAATGGCATTGTGCGGACTTATGGCATAGAATTGAGGTCGAGAATGTTACTTAGTTTGCAGTAACCACATCCTTCAATTCTCATCCACCAAGAGGTCGACTTTTGCATCACAGTTATTCCACTGGAAGGCCAGCAGCATTGCAAAATGCCTCCTTCTGGGAGATTTTAGCACTTTTGTTAATGATGGACCGAAGATAATCATAAACCATCTATAGCCACAGAAGCATTAAACAGTCGAGGAAATAATGGGGAAACATCTCCTTTTCTTCCTTTGGAAATAGGGTATTAATTATAGCCATTAATTACCAGTAACTAATTAATTAAATGAATTACTACTACTAGGAAATTCATTATTATTTGAGTTGGAAAGCAACTATTTCATCCAAGTAAAATACAGACTGTAACGTTGCATCAGCTACATAGATACATTTTTTAAAAACAGACATTTGGGAGGGGAAGCCGTACAGTGAAATGTTAATGAAAAGAATGGTCTAACTTTTTGGTTTTCCCCAGAACATGTATCCTGAATAGAATTCTCTTCAGCAAAGTACCATTAAGGGAAAGTCGCTGTGGCTGAACGTCTGCTTTAATGAGAAGGTTCTTGGGAGAAGGTAGTTGGAAAAAGGAAAGGGCCAACACATTTTTTGCTATCAATCAAGTTGCTCTGGTGCAAAGTCCACCTTCAGGAGGTATGAAATGTTCCAACCTCCTCCTCCTCCTCTGTCATGGTTTGATTTTTGGTTTGGGTTGGTATGGGAGTTATTTTGGGGTCTTTTGTTTTTAATAGGGGTGGCAATGCAGAGATGCCAGTGACTACTGAATTAGGATTTTAATTGACTAGGATGGTTACTGTTTAAACTTCAGTTCCTCAAAACAGTGGAAAAGTTGAATTAAGTATGGCCAATACCTTCCTTTTCACAAAATCAGAAGCTATGAGGTCTTCCCAGAACATGCTAAAGTTTTGCAATACTAACCTTACTGGAATGCTGTACACTGAGTTTTTTTTGTTTTCTTAACAACTGGAAAGATTAAGAGGCCTCTGCTTCAAAATGGGCCAAAAAATGCAGAAACAGTGTTTTAATCACATCATCTGCCCCATTAAAATACTGAAATAAAAGGCTAACAAAGGAAGCACTTTTCAGAAAACACTTTCTTGATATATATCCAGCACAATGCCATTACAGAGCTTCGGAGAAGCCCTTTTGGTTTCAATGTTGGAAAACAAAAAAAGTTTTGCTTTTTTTCCTTCAGTCCTTGGGGATCACTTTCCATTTACATATATATATCATATATATACATGTATATATGTATATGATACATATATATAAACACCCATATATATAACAAGGTTCCTGTTTGTGTATGTTAGAATATTGTAGTATCAAGGAGAATCCAGATAGCAACACTGTTTAACATGAGGTTTGAGGTAATTGGTTCTTGTAATACCTGGATCACAAACTGCATCCAGAAATAACAGCTGGGCAATGAAAAGTGTTTTTTTTTTCAGACAGAAAAAAATAGTAAAAGAAAAAAATGCTTACAGCAGTTGCTTTTACATGGAAAAATAAAGGCACAACAGAATAGCATTACATTTCAGAACGGCTGGATGGATATAACACAAGTATGATCTCTTTTCTGTGGAAGTGTCCTGACAAAAAGGATTACTGCTTACTTGATGGGTTACTACTTCAGTCAGGGAACCCAGCGCCACCCTAAAAGAAGAGTTCTAATAAAGAAGTCCCAGGGAAGCGAGCGACCAGGTGTGTTTAGAAAGCGCTCTGGCAGG